ACATCCATTCAACCACAACTCTGCATTCCCCTTCCCCTCAGACTTCCATCTACACTGTCTCTAAGAATCTGACTACTCTTGGCTGGGTGCAATGGCATACGCCTGTATTCCCAGTGGCTTGGGAAGCTGAGGCAGGAGGATTGCAAGTTCAAAGCCAGTCTCAGCAATTCAGCAAGGCTCTAAGCAGCTTAGTGAGACCCTGTTTCTAAATAGAATACAAAAAGGGCTGGGGACGAAGCTCACTGGTTAAGCTCCCCTGGGCTCAATTCCTYGTTTTAAAAAAAATAAATCTGACTATTCTAGGTACCTCTGTAAGTGGGATTATACGTTTAGATATTTTATGATTGGTTTATTTCATTTAGCGTAATGTTTTCAAGGTTTATCCATGTCATAGCACTAATCAGAATCTTGTTGTATGTATACACCACATATTTCATTGGTTGCAGAAACATTTTTCTTAATGCACTCATCTGTTGGTGGGCATTTCAACCTGTGGCTATTGTTGTTTCCACCTGAGGCTATTGTGAACAATGCTGCTCTGAACATGGCATGCGCAGATACCTTTGAGCACCTGCTTTCACTTCTTTTATGTATATACCCACATGTGGAATTGCTGGATCATAGAGGGATCATATAGTGATCCTAATAAATTTTTTGAGGAAGCACCATACACAGAGGCAAGCACTATTTTACATTCCTACCAGCAATGAGTAAGAGTTCCAATTTCTTTACATCTTCTACAACAATTGTTATTTCATTTTTTAAAAAATAGCCATCTCAATGTGTTTACTTTTTGTTTGTATGACTTCTTTCAAAATATGCATTGTTGTTTTGCAAGTGATTTTTTTTAGTTATAGACACCATAGCTTTATTTTATTGATTTATTTTTTTATGTGGTGCTGAGGATTGAACCCAGTGCCTCACATGTGCTAGGCAAGTGCTCTACCACTGAGCCACAACCCCAGGCCTGTATGTGATGTTTTACCCAGGTGGCATTATGCTATTCATTTCACTGTGGCTATTTTCCCTCCAAACTGTTTTTAGGAATCATTCATTTGTCTTATGTACATGAAACTTCTAGCTCTTGCATGATGCTCTATCCTATGCATCAGCCATATCCATGAATTTTTGAGAACCTACTATGTGCTCTTGACACAGCCAATTTAATTTGATTCCACACATAATCTAAGAAGCAATTTTATTAGCATTCCCATTATATGGTCGAGGAAACTGACACATAAGAGTTAAGTTGCACAGCTGGAAGTGGTGAAGCTAGAAGTTTAACCCGGGTTGTCTGGTACCAGGAGAGCCCACTGGGTAAGGTGCTATAAAGAGCTACAGAGACCTGGCTGTAGGTAGAGGTCCTCTYCTGGGTGAGGACATGCTCAGGAGAGTTCTAGTTCCAACCTGCTCACCTCCCTTCCTCAGATAGCCCTTTCTGTCTCTGTAAAATGAAGACAGAATGATCCCAATGTTCTTTCTAGACTCACCACTTGCTGATTAAACACCCTTTGGCTAGTGGGAAAAAAACATAACCGAAGTCAGGTGTTCGTTTCTCTCCAGGGTTCCACGCGGGAGCTGCTCCAAACATGCTTTGGCATGTCTGTCTGGAGGCTCCTGATAGGGCTGACTATTCCCAGGGAGACAGAGCTGTGCCTCCACCCCCATCCCACCTCTCCTGAACTTTGCACTTACCATGATGAAAAATTAACTGGGCTAATGTTTCCCTTCCAAGGACAAGGACAACCTCTGCAAAGCAGGCCTGGCTGGGCCCCAGGAAACCAGGCGCCAGAACAGAGTTGCATCCATCAGTAGCCACTTACCCATTATCACCAAAACTGGGGAGGGCATGTAAGGGTCTCTTGGAACAGAGAAAAAGTAGCTTCTCACTCTTCCTAGAGGGCTTATTCTTCAACTTTTCTCACTGGAGGAGAAAGAACTAGCCCAGAGACAGCACCATCAGATTCCCATGTGGGTCCAGCTTTTTATTTTTCTGCACACCCAGCAGACCCTGTCACAACAATGCTGCCTTGGAAAGGATTTGTGGGAAAGCATGCATGGTTCAGTCACACTAACTAGTTGGCTGACTAGTTTTTTCCTCCCCTCAGCAAAGTGAGGGGGTTGAACAAGGGCCCCTTCCAATGCTGTGAGTTTAGAAGGTGAGGTACACACCAGGCCCTTCCACTCCCATTTAATCCTTGAATCTCTCTTGGGCTGCTTCCCTCCCTAGTACAAACTGGCTCTCTTTCGTGTAAGACGAGGGGTTGCACTGGAGCAGGATGCGTATGATGCTCTTTCTGAATTCACCACTATGCACCATAAGAACCCTATTAGCTCCATTCTTACGGTGAAAGAACACATGCTCAGCAAAGTGAAGGAGGAAAATAGGCAGGATCCAAAGCCACATTAGTTGATGATGGAGCCCGAACTTGTATTCTGGCTGACTCTCAAGGGCTGGCCTTGCTGGATTTGAGGTTTGGGTTAAAATTAACCATTTTCTTCAAGATGATGACTGCAAGGGTCCCTCTGTATCCTCTGCCCACTCAGGCACACCTGACCCCACTCTTTGGTGCTTCCCTAGGTCCCTTGGTATCTTTCAGAGTTCCCAGACCTGAGCAGGAGGGCTGCATTGAGATGCTCCACGGATGCCTTAGCCTGAACTTGGCTCCCTGCACCACACCACTCCTGGGGCCCAAGGTGTGCTCTACTACTTCACAGCTGCTGGTTCTCTTTCAGTGAGGCTTTAACATTAGGGTCCCGCAGCAGACCTAGGAGGCTGTGAGAAAAGCTATTTGTAGCCTATGTCACAAGCAAACATTTCTTAAGCTCTCACAATAGTGTGCCTGTATAAAGAACTTTTGTTTTGCAAAGAGCTCTCTTAACAAAGTCACCTCTGCCTTGCTCTATGAGGCAGTTGGGTGCAATGGCAATTTCGGAATAAGGCCTCACAAAGTCCTGAGCTCAAGCCCCAGCTCTGCCATGTGGGATCCCCAGAAGTCCAGAAATCTCTCTGTGTCTCAGGTGCCTCATTCATAGATGTGAAGAATAAGGACATCTACGTCAGGGAATACTGTGCAGATTACTTCAGAGGGCAGCACTTGGGCTATCTGGAATGAAGACAGCAATTAATAAATGTCAACTGCCTTCTATCCTGGTCTCTCTTCCTAAGGGCTGTGAATAAGACAGCAAAACGCAAGACTACAGCTGCCACCAACAAATAGGATCAGCAGCGCTGGAACCAGCTTCGATGAGGCTTAAGATTTCTCCTTTCAGGTCCCAGCAAGCAGGGAGTTCAGAGAGGAAAGAGAAGCGGCAGCCCCTGACAGCTAGTGGGAGGCCATCCTCTGTGAAAGGGCAAGTCCCCTGCAGCTTCTGAGCTGACTTTGTGGATCCGGCCACACCTCACAGGGCTTTGTAACTCCCCACCGGCACCAGGGTTTGGAGATAACTTCTTTCTCACCATGGGGGGTTTCCTGCTGTTAAAAACAAACAAAAGCCTTAGCCTCGGGCTGCCCGATAGGGGAGGCGGCCATAGGAGGAAGGCGCAGAGCGGCCTGTGGGCAGAGGCCCCTGAATTCTGCTGGTGGGAGAAAAGCCCCACAGCTCTCCAACGTGCCACGGTTTCCCGGCTTCCCACCAAAGCTAACTTAAAAACACATCAACTTCCAAGTAGTATTCTCTGCCCCCCCACTTTTTTGTTCATTGGTTTGGAAACAAAGTTCCCTTTCCTAGTTATTTGGTATCGAATTTCGGATCTTTCTGTATCACGAGTTTTTCTAATACCCCTTAAAATTTCCCCCAAATAAATTCTAAATCGCCCCCCCCTTCATTTCTTTCTGAACTTAATGGATGTCTCCGAGGCCCATTTTCTAACAAGTGCTTGGCTCACAGGGCCCAAGAGACCCCTGGCTCCAGCAATTGTTCAGGTTGTCACTGGGGTACCCAATACTCCACTTTTAAAAGTCTACTTTCCCCCCTTCCAACTCCCTCCTCCGCACACAGCTTCGGGGCTGTCAGTCGGAGTGATCTCATCGCTGAGAAAATAAAAACAGCCCCCAGGTCGTTGGCGCCAGCCAAGGCCCCAGACCAGGATCAGCGCGCCCCGACTTCCAGGGCCTCCAACCTTCCGCGTGCGCCGCGTCTTGGGTCCGGGTCTTCTGGGGGCACCGCCGCCAGCCGCGAGTCTAACCCTCTCCGGCCCGCAACTGCGACGGAGCTTCTTCAGCCTGGGATCCCAGAGCGGACGCGAGGCCCGAGCTCTGCCTGCCCGCCAGGGGCCCCTCTCGCCACCCCACTCCCAGAACTTCCTCTCCACGCCCGCACGGCTACGGGCCGGGGCCTCAGCAGTGCCGGGTCGCCCACGTGGGCGTGTTGGGCGCAGGGCGGGGGCAGGCGGGTGTCCTCCCCGGAGCTGGGGGCGGGCAGGGCGCCCGGGGGAGGAGGCGGCGGGGCGCGGGGGAGGAGGCGGGGAGCCCCGGCGGCGAGGGGGCGGTGACAGCGCTTGGAAAGGAGGCTGCACGCGGATTTGCATGAAACATAGACTGGGAGCGGGCGGGAGCGGGAGCGGGAGCGCGGCGCACGCCCGGGACCTGCCCAGCGAGCGAGCGAGCGAGCCGGCAGGAGGAGGAGGAGGAGGAGGAGGAGGAGGAGGAGGAGGAGGGCAGCGGGGAGGCGAGGCCGCAGAGGCGGAGGGATCTGCGCATCAAAGCGAGCAAGGCGAGCAAAGTTTGGCTGGGGGCTGGACTTTCCTTCCCGGAGGCGGCACCCAAACAGCCACTCCGTGCGGAAACCCAAACTTTCTGCTGCCACTCCGAGCCTCGCGGCCGCCGCCTCCGCCCCGCGATTGGGGCCTTCTCGATCCCGCGCCGCTGCCGTCCTCCGGCCCGTCCGCCCCGCGCAGCTCTTCTCCTCGTCGCGGGAGCCGCTCGGGCGCAGGGCCGCGCGCCGAGACCCGCAGGCTGCAACGCCGCGGCCAGGCCCGGCGCACCGGCAAGTTCGCCGAGAGTTGAGGCGAAGTTTGGGCTGCGCGGCCGGCCCCGGGCTCCGCGCCCCCGGCGTCCCGCCGCTCTCAGCCCCGCCGGGGGCGCCCCTYTCCGCCTGCGTTCCCTCCCCAACCATGTCGTCCATCCTGCCCTTCACCCCGCCGATCGTGAAGCGCCTGCTGGGCTGGAAGAAAGGCGAGCAGAACGGGCAGGAGGAGAAGTGGTGCGAGAAGGCGGTCAAGAGCTTGGTCAAGAAGCTTAAGAAGACGGGGCAGCTGGATGAACTGGAGAAGGCCATCACCACGCAGAACGTCAACACCAAGTGCATCACCATCCCCAGGTGGGGGCCCCTGGAGGACCAGGGGGAAGCGCCGGCCCTGCCCCCTGGTGCGGCGGGGCCGGCCCGGCTGGGCTAGAAAGAGAAGGAGTGCGTGTGTRTATGTGTATAAGTGGGGGGCTGGTGAGTGCGGCCAGGGAGAGAGCGGCGAGACCCCAAACAAAACCTCTGGATTTGCCAAGATTGGGAGCCTGGGGCTTCCACGCGGCACTTTGATTTCCAGACTTCACCTTCGTTTTCCCCTCCGGAAAAGGGGGTGCTTCTGGGATTGGTCCCCCATTCCTGGAGCTGCGGGCTCCAAGTTGAGGCCCGCTTTGTTCGGCTCCGCGGGCCGAGCCCCTCCTCCGCCGCCTCCTCCCGCCCCGCGGCGGCCCGCGCTCGTGGAGGTGGTGGTGTCTCTCCCTTTCTTTTCTTCAGTGCTGTCCCCCCACTTCTTTCCTCTACAGGAATGCAGTCGGTACAGCTGGGGCTGTGGGTGAGGAGCGGGAGCCTGGTGATTGACAGATTCCTTCTTCGTTCTTTCTTTGCCTTCGGGATTAGCATTTTTATCGAGTATTTTTAGACTCGGTTGTGCCAGTCTCCCGCCCCCTGTGCATGCACGCACTTTAGTTACAGCACAGAGCTCTGACTTTCAAGTGGGAAAGACAAGTGGCAGAAAACAGGGTCTTCTCCCCCACTTCCCACCTCACTTCTGACTTTTTGCCTTCTTTTTAGTCTGAGATTGCATATCGATAGAAGAGGCTAGCGTCCGACTGATAACAAAACATGCCCCAGTGCGGGCCTCGCTTGGGCCCTCGCATTCCTGTACAGCCCTCTTTCCTAAAGCGCTTTGCCATCTGTCCGGACCTCCTTTATGCTTCCATCGCGCTAGCTAGATCGAGCTGGAGCTCACAGATGGCTGATAGAAGGGGTCAGTGACTTCTCTCCACTCTCAGGGCCTTCCTGAGCTTAGCTGTGCCTGGCAGGGCATCGGGGGCCGGGGTACCTTGATCTCCTGCTCCTGACTCTCAGTCCCCTTGAAGTCTGATTCTGAACCAAGGTGGGGAGACAGAGAATGTGCGGTTGGGTGGGGGTGGGTTKCTTGGGGGTCCGGGCTGCAGAAGGATGAATAGAGGACTCCGCAGGCCTGAGTTTGGCAGGGATTGTCCTTCTCTCTTCTGGGCCAGGGGTAGACTCCATCCTTGGCCACCTGCTTGGGGCAGCTGTGCAAAAGCTGCCAGCCATTTCAGGCAGGCACAAAGCAACATCTGTCCATGGGAACCCAGGGCTGGCCTTCCCTGGAAATAAATGCCACATATGGTGGGAATGCTGACTTAAAAAATAGTTTTTTAAAAAAACTGGGTGGATCCAGTCAATAAAGGGGGGAGGGAAGGCGGTGTGCTGTCTGGGGAGTGCGCCCTGGGCGAGTGATCAGGAGCCAGAATTGACTTCAGAGGAGGTGATGTGATGGTCAGAGAAATCTGGGTTTTGGTCCCAGGTCTGGTTCTTAATTCTTTATTCTTTTGGTGGGGCTGGGGAGGTTGGGRGTGTGTGAGTTGATACCTCTCCATCTGAGAAGGGGGTCTGTAAAAGCTGCCTACTCCTAATCTGCCTGTGTGCATTGAGGACAAATTCTTCATGCATTGAAACAGAGAAAAAGTGGTATCAATTATAAAACACACAGCTGTGGAAAGTGTTTCACAATTTACAAAGCGCTTTCACATGGTTTTATGAGGTCCTCGAAGAAAGGCCGAAAGAAAAAAAATGAGCTCCAGAAAATAGATAATGCAGGCGAAGACGATCTTGTTTTTAAAGTAGAGAGAACTTTGGAGGAGAGAGGTGGGAAGGCTGGGCCTGGCAGACGTGGCATTCTGACCGAGGTGCTCCTTGGGACCCCAGGCTGCTCTAGACTTTTGACATTCTGAGCAGCATTCCCTGCTGAGTGCTTAAGCACCCTAGGCCTGGGGTAGGTGRTGTCTCTGCTGGGAAGGTGATACTTTAGCCACTGCGCTGATGACAGCTTGGAGAGACACCTTGCCTGGGTAAAAGTTTGCCTCCTGCTGGGGGTGGGGGGTTGCTGTGGCCTGCCTTTCTCTCTCCCATAGCCTGAGGCATGTGAACTCTTGGAAGGATTCTGAGAATTTCAGCCGGCCTGCCCCCTGGCCTTCTCCTGACTTAGGACTGGGGCATCTTCTCCCTACCTGGAGAGGACCTAATGCTAAAGGAGTTTTTTTTTTTGTTGTTGTTGTTGTTTTAATTTGCAGTGCTGGGAACCCAGGGCCTTGCATAAAATAGACAAGAGCTCTGCCACTGAGCCATGTCCCTCAGACCTAAGTGTGTGTGTGTGTGTGTGTGCGCGCGCGCGCATGTGTGTTTGTGTGTATAAAATCTTTTCAGAGAAACCCTATTACTTGGGTAGATCCAGACAAAATAAATTTTCATCCCTGGATTTTTTTTTTTTTTTTTTTTTTGGTACTGGGGATTGAACTCAGGACCACTTGACCACTGAGCCACATCCCCAGCCTTGTTTTGTATTTTATTTAGAGACAGGGTCTCACTGAATTGCTAAGTGCCTCACCATTGCTGAGGCAGAACTCACAGTCCTCCTGTCTCAGCCTCCTGAGCCGCCAGAWTTACAGGCATGAGCCACCTCATTGGCCCCAACCCTGGATTTTTCGCCCAAGTCACTGGGATCACCTCATCTCCCTGGCAACAGCTGCTGCCATCTTGGTCATGGATAGAAAACCACAAGCCATATTTATATGTCTGCCAAGCCCCATAGGTTGCAGTATTGTCACATTGCTGTCTTCATGCTGACTTTGAGAACTGGGGCTTTGGAAAGTAGACAAAGGAAAATGTTTAACTTAGTCATCCCCCTGTGTGTGGGATGGGGCACAGGGTATTTCAGAACACTCTGCAAGATCTRGACTCTGGGGTTTAAGGAGCCCTTAGTATAAAGAGATTATGACAGGCAGATTTTGGCTAATATGGAATTGTGAGTAGCAGCAGCAACATTTGACAATTATAGCTGGATACTTCGRACTGAATCGGTTTTCTCTATTCCCCCGGCTTGAGCCATTTTAGTGATCAGGACAGTGTCAGTGATGCAGACTTAACTGGCATATAGGCTAAAGACTGTCACAAAGATGGGCCAGCAAAGTGGAGGAGCTTGGCTCTTAGATATAGCACAAACTAGCTGTCAGGATACTGAACTTGGTGGATGGGCAGAACTTGGGCACAGGCTCAAGGACCTGGTGGAAACTGCAGGTGTCTCTTCCCAAGTTCATAAGGAATGGGTTGAAGCGCTTGCCACTGAGAGAATGTTAGGTCAGTCATAAGGAGTTGAGYACACCTAAACCTCCTTTTCTGATACACACTGACAAGTTGTAGTGGCTGTGCACAATGGGGCATGCCTGTGATCCCAGCTACTCAGGAGGCTGAGGCAGGAGGATTGCAAAGTTGGAGGCCWGTGTGGGCAACTTATCAAGACCTTGTCTCAAAATAGAAAAAAAAAAAAAAGAAAGAAAGAAAGAAAAAAAGGGGCTGGGGATATAGCTCAGGTGTTGGAGCACTGTTTGTTTGAAAGGGAATTTTGATTTCCTTGTGTCAGTGTTAAGCCCAGAGACAGAAGAGAGAAAAGTGAACCAAATACTGGTGTCACACACAGCATCTCTTCCCTGTCTGTGCACCTGATCTTTGAGTATAGTCTCCTCTTAWCTCCTAGGATTTTGCAAACTCCTTTTGCCCGGGGGAGAGGGGAAAAGAGATTCATCTTCAATACTCTTTTCTCAGGGTTCTAGCACAGACCAGTTACCAAGGCTGCTGAGATGCCCTCTTCAGTACCTTTCAGATCTCTCCGCATCTTGATCCTCCCACCTCCAGTGTGAACCGCTGGCCCTAAGCCCACTTTCAGCCTCCAGGGAGGCCAGGCCGTCCATCCTCCTCTTGCTCTGGCTTGCTAACCTTGGTGAGGGCAACTCCACGTGGGGCCTGGGSAGAGGAGGACCTGCAGGACAATGAGAAGCTGACTAGGGGGCTGATCCTGATCTGTGGCTGAACCTAGGAGCCACTTGAATGTCCTTATCCTTTCTGCTTACACCTGGGAGATGAACGTGTGGGCTGAAGTGTGTCACACACAGTGTCTTGCTCCCATCGGATGTTACAGGGTTAGATTTGGTTGATTGATTGATATTTATTGGACCTCTGTCATGTCTGGGTCAATACTACAGGCCCCAGGGGAGGAGGCGGAGATACATTTGAGAAGGTCCCTTCTTGTGGAGAGCTTTATACTTCAGTAAGGGAAACGTGAATAGGACATCATTTGAGTGAATTGCTATTTCTTTTGTATTCCCAGCAATCAGAAGAAATGTGAGATCTGGTATGGAGGGATTTGGGGGAGAAGGGGGCTAGGATGCATCTTTTAAATGTTGTAGAAGTCACTGTGGTAGAAAATAAAGTGATGACTGCCATCTGTTTTACTATCTGCGTGGATTTAGGGATTCGCCTAATGCCTTCCTGTCTGAACCTGTACAATCAGGAGGAGATAAAGCCTGTGGAAGTGGTTTGTAAACTAGAGAGCTGGAGAGAGGTGAATATTTAGGCTTCTGTCTGTATCGCTCATTCATGATGGAATTGTTCAGTCTTGTATCTGCTCCCTTCTGTGATGACCAAGCAGGGGTCCTGTGCTCAAGGGCCTCCTGTTTAGGGCTGGAGGCAGACTTGCCCCACTACATAGGACAGGAGTGGCAGCCAAGGGACACACGGAGTACCAAACAGTAGGGAGACACACAGTTATTTATGGAGGGAGGGGGTGTAGAGAGGCGGCAAGTCCGTGTGTGATGGGAAACCAAGAAGAGGACCAGAATGATGATCATGGAAACTTTTTGGTCCATGGGGAGAATCTGCCTACAAGAAARGGGATATGTTTAACTTTTGCCTTTTACTAAACTGAGTGCTACTGTGAATGTTACCTTGTCACTTGCAAGGAAAGGCTAGTGTGACCTGGGGGCTGTATCTTACTGCAC